AAAAAAAAAATTCTGGAATATATGGTAAATAGCCATTTGCTGCCTCTAACCCTCCTCTCAAAGCATCTGGCATAAGTTGTACTTTTTGTTATAAATATAATTTTAAGTCTTATAAAATTTAAGCCCACACAGTATCTGTTAGGGCAATTTGAAAAGATGCATATCTCTGAGAATTAAAAGGTGTTGGGGAACTAAAACAGTGGTTTGAATGAATAGAAGTGAGAAAGGTTTCTGAAGGCAGAAATCCTCAGTCCCTGTGTGATTTGCGCAGGATTTGATCTGCTGTTGTCATTTTGTTGGCACTGAGGGTGACCTCCTGGGAGCTTCTGCCATGTTCAGTCCCAGATCCAGATTCTGCCGGGGTTTACCTGGAATCTGTCATGGCAGTGTGCTCAAGTTCCATTTAAAATGGTACAGGGTCATTTTGCATCTCACTTTCATAGGTCATATTCTGACATGGGCTACCCATAAGCATCTCGCCTTGGCTGCGGATATGGAAACATTGTCACTGAGGCAAATGCATTTATCCCTCGCTTCTAACGAACTGGCTTCCAAAGAAAAGTTGGAAGAATTCACAACATGAGTATATGACAGCCTCATTTCATTCTCCTGAAAAACCTTCCATATAAACAAATCTCATCCAGGAAAGCAGCTGTGTTTGATAGAGCAATATTAGATCTGAAATATCCATTCTATATCAATAGATGGTCTGTGCTAAGTCTACAGAAGATGAGTATTTTCATTATCGTGTAGTTCTTAACAACTCCTTGTGTACTTACTTCGTTTCTCCCATGTTGCAGAATCCCTATAGAATTTCATCAATTTGTATTTTTAAGTAGCTTTTATTTCTTCAACTCTATTTCTAAATTTTATGTTAAAATTATTTCAAATTTGTGCAAGTCCTTCTTTTATCTACATATGCAGTATTCATAATCCAATGTATTATATCAATCATTAGTAAGTGACCCCTTGAACATTTTTAATATTTTATTCAGGAGATATTCACTGTGCATAATCTTTTGAAGATTTAGTCATTTTAGCTATAAAGTGCTTTCTACAGGAAATGGATCTGTAACTATTTCTCTATGGCCAACCTCACCTCTGTTTCTTCCTTCTTTGTATGTATTTATGCAAGTATGTATGTAGGTAGACAGGTAGGTAGTAGGTAGATATTTGTTAATGGCTTACTATGTTTAAACAGCTCAAACTTGTTGATCTAAATCAGTAGACCTAGCAACAAGAGGGAGAAGAAAATGAAAATATTCTTTCCCTGGTATAAGGCAATGGACAAGATAAAGAAAGACAATCTAATCCTTAGGATATTTTAATCTTTCTTTTTTTAGCCTTAGAACTAACAGGTGCAGATAATGTTCATTGAACACTTCAAAATCTTGTAATTCCATCATCCAAGAAGTATACTATTTTCTCTCTGAT